ACTCATAAACTATGTATTTTTAAGTGCTTGTAACATGTAGCTTTGGAACATTGCTAAGGAATTATGATGCAGAAAATAAGACCATGTTTAAAGCAGCACAGCTGCCTTGTGATGAGTGAATAGGCTGTAGGAAACAAAAAAATCTAATGTGTGAAATGAAACATGAAAATGTAGGTGTACTCTTGGCTTTTGAGCTTCATGCAGTGTTCAGGAAGTCTTAAGAGAATAGGAAAGTGTTTGTTAAAATCGCTAAAGTTAGTAAGATTTCCACATGGTGAAAAGATGTTTTCCTGATGATATGTATGTCATGGTGAAAACATTATTAAGGATGTGATTTACAAAATTCTCAAATCTTAAAGTATCAGACTACTTTTTTATAACCAAACGGTTGACAAGTGTGAAGTAACAGATGAGCATTTATTGATTTTCAAAGTAGATGTTGACTTTACATTTGTAAAAATGCTTTCAGCACTTTTCAAGAAAGTCAATGAAAAGTGGAATTTCAGAATTCCAAATAGGTGCAAGGAATGAAACCCACTCCTGAAAAATGTTATAAAAGCAGCTAAGATCCCTTTTCATTGGTGGCTTTCATCAGAGAGTCACTGGGTACGGATCAATCCGGTGAAAGGGCAAAGGCCAGATTCCAGCTGGGTACACATACACTTTCTGGTAGATATTAGGACTCGGTCATCTCAGCCCTATATCCCCTAGAGTAGGGGACAGTAACCTTTTAGTAGAGGCGTGCCAAGAGCTTGCTCATGCAGTTACCCTGCAACTTTTAATAAGACATACTGTACATATTAATGTACCTTCTCTTGCTGTGCTAGCTTGTGCTGGCTAGAAACAATAGTTTCATAACCCATTTCTCATTATGCGGTTTGGGGTGGTTTGAACTTTTTCTAACAAAAATCTTGATCTTGATTTCCACCTTCCCACAGCTTAGCCAAAGAACAAAATATTTGACTCTATACTTGTGTGAAAAATGTTATCGGCGGCCCAGATTCTGAGCTTTCCTGTGAAAAAAAATAGACTAGCTCCGCTAAAAATAATACTGCAAATAAATCAAGTGAACCTTTTTGGTTTCCTGCACTGAAGAGTTCTCATTGGGTAGCATGTTATAAAGAATAACAGAACAGTGAAGTACCTTTTTTTTTACCATTTTTTTATTTAATTTCTTAGTGGCTTATTGGACTTTTATTGCACATGGTGCTTTCATTGCACCATTACAAATTCCTTTTTGTGCCAATAATTGCACATGTGATGTAGATTGCCAACCCCAAGGGATGGGGGATAGAGTGTTATGTATTGTTGTTGCTGGTTTATATCCTCACTCAGTTGCACCTACTGTAGGAGCTTCATCATCCCATTGATTGGTGTCAACTCTTTGAGATGAAAGGGAAGCTTGTTATGATAACTGAAATTGTCTGTGATGATGACGTAAATTGCTGTATCCTTTAAGTGTGCTATGGGCACAGAGGCATGAACTTGAGACACTCCATAACTATTGTGTCAAGGAACACTTGAGTAAAATATGATTCTGGAGGAGTTCTGGTTGACTGAATTGTGTTCTTTTGGTCTCCTGCTTGCTGATTTGTCTCCAAGCATTTACATAAGCAAACGGGTTTTACTGCTGTTTCATAATCATCTTAAGGGCAACGTGACCAAACAGGGCTCCACAGTCACCAGTACTCACGATGTTTACTTTTGGATTGTTGTTCGCTGTGTTTAGTTGGAGGGAGGAGCCTTTCACCAGTAACAGAAATCACTGAAGGTCTTCTCTTGTGAAACACTGATTTCTTCTCAAATCAAACCAGGTTTAGACTACACCAGAGTCTAGATAACTTAGGAAGAGCAGTGGTAGCTCACTAAAGATTCTGCCCAGTTTGAGGTAACCCTCCCTTATTGTTACCACAGGTTTTATTCTTTCTTTATTGAAATAAAATAATTTTTACATAAGATAATTGTGTAAGCCATTTTTAACACAGGCAGTTTGTCATATTTACATCAGTCAAAAAAAAGTAATTTTGCTATGCAATGAAATGACCACATTAAGATATGCAGAGAAGACAAATTATAACAGCCTTTACAATGATTTTATGTGAGATACATTGTCTAGTTTTCTGTAATGATTGGGCTGTTATCCTGTCCAAAAGCTGAGTTGGTGTTATGTTCGACTCTTTATTGCGACAAAGGTACAGTAGCATTGTCATAATCACTCTTTTATTTTTCATTCATTTACATCACAGTTCGTTCATTTACATCAACTTTTAGATGATGGTAAATGACAATAAAAATACAATACATTTAAATGATGCTATTAATTACAGTATGTATTTCGCTATAGCCTATTTTTGTTTGTAAATTTGAATCTTCGTCTTGCCTTTTGGTTTAAGTAATGTATAGTAATAATAGATTGGACGACGCCAAAAATAGGTAGACATTACACAAAATAAAAAGGTTTTATCTTGAAATGTGCCCAATTTTCTTTCTCTCTATAAAATCTTAACCTCTGTACTTTGGTTCTTTAGACACTAGCTATACAGTTTATGTAATGGCAATAATGTTTATCTTGCAACATTGTCTTTGTTTTGTGTACATTATCCTATTATAGCCTATCATATTAGCCTAATCTAATATTCATGTACATATTCCTTTATTTTTTATTTTGTAATTTTGGAGATTTTTAATTTTGCCCTAGCCTTGGGTGGAAGTCATCAAGGCATCTGTAACTCTTTCATACTGGTACACTAGATAATGTCTTCCACAGATCACTAAATGGACAAATGAATTGAATAAAAGAAAAATAATCAAAATGTCACTGTCTTGTGTAAGAGACTTAGCAGCCTCAACTTACAGTGGGTAAATCACAGATCATATGATTCTAAGGCTTCGTTTTCAAAACAGCTAAAATATTTGGTGGCATACTATCTTTAATCAGGAATATCCTTACTACAAGTATGTATGTATCATTAAATATTATCATCACAAAATGGAAGCTCAGTTTTTAATTTTCAAGTTTTATTTAATATTCAAATGCAGGGTTGATAAATATATCCGTCTAATCACGTGTTTTGCATGTAAATACTGTACATGAAAAGTATTTGGATCCAGCACTGCTGCAGTTGTTGCACTATGATGTAATCTTAATGTATTATTAATATTACTTACAGTTATGCTTAAATTGATAGATTTCTAAAATAGAACTATTAAGAACAATATTATTGCGAAGCACAATTTCAATGTTAATTTTTAAATATGGTTGCAGTACTGTGGCTCTGAACAAGTGCCAAGTCATGTCTCTGTAAATAAATCAAGAAGTTGAGTGTGGCCTTTTCACTCACTCACACACAATATCATCCTCTAGTTTGACTTTTTAATTTTAAAATATGTTTTTAATGTTCATTTTAAAATCTGATCTTCCATGCCATGTTATCTGGTAGTTAGGAAATTGAATAATTGTGGCTTGGTCTTAAAGAACCTCATTGTTTTAGATTGTATTCCTCTTTTATTCATATTTATTAGAGAAAATTGCAAAGTGCTAAAATAATTTAGGTCTAATTGCTTTACAGTATGTTTTTATTAAACATTGTTGCTTCCTGCTTAATGATTTGAAGTATCACCATTTGGGTTTCTTTAAAATTAGCAAATGTTCTATGAAACATGCATGTGGAAATACAAAAATGCAATTTCTGGCACAATTTATGTGTATTGAACATCTGTGTCATAAAATATAATGTAAGTATGAAACATACATGATGATTGTCATGACTTTAAAGATAAATCTGTCTTTACAGTCTGTATTTAGATTTATTCATGATTTTCTTGCATTCATATTTTCTTTCTGTTCCTTGCATATAATCATTGGTACTTGGTTACATCATTAAAACTTTAACATTAAAATTCTTTAACATGTTTTTTCTTCAATTTCAATCTCACCACAGTGCATTGAGAATCAAAGCTGTGTGGCAAAGAATCTATATTGGTAAATGGTGGTTTTGATATTTGGGGGAGGTCTATCCACCTTTCCTTAAGGGAATGTCAAAATGTTATCTTCTTTATTATTTCATTTGTGAATTGTTAAGCTACAGAAGCTACAAAACAAGCAAGATTGACTGATTGCCCTTCTCTATATTGTAAACTTTCTTAAATTCTTTGGTTTCATGCTGATTTCTAAGATGATAAAATATTAAGCAATAACTAAAGGGATCTCACCACAATTATGGAATTCATTAGACATTAACTTGCCTACTTTAAATCTAGGCTCTGGAAATCTTGATTCAAACTGCATCATTTAATACTACCTTGAAATAGCATTCTGGTTTTACTTTCAAAATTATATGTATAGTTTTCAACATTTTGTATTTCACCAGCCGTCCTGAATAGCAAATGCTGTGCAATTTAAATATATGTCAGTTGTTTTTGGTAATAAAGTTAAACATATTAACAATTAAATGAATGCTTTCATTACATTTTTGATTATCCTTTTATAAACACACTTAGTTATTTTTTTTTCAGCATGTGTGCTTACATTTGTAAAACAATAGGTTACCTAATATGTTTAAAAATATTTTTAAATAATGCTTAAAATAAATAGAAGGCACTTATGACATAATTCCTTGTACAGCTGTTACCCTACAATTATTTATTCTGAGTTTTTGTAGGAAAGCCAGGAATTCTTCAGATTTTCGACTTGTTTTCGAATTGTTTTCGGAGATGTACAAGAATGTTAATGTTCTGTCTATGGTACAATTTTCTCTTTTTAGAAAGGTCCCTAAGTGCCCAAGGCTTAATAGAGAAATAATATTGAACACGAGGGAAATAATGAGTGAAAAATGTGAAAGTTAAACTGGCATTGTTATTGTTTGCTTATACATGTTCCCTTTGAGATATCCTGAAATTACTGTAATGTTTAATAAACAATATGAAATGTGTTTAATAATGAATACAGTAAAATATTTTGTATTGTTAATATTATTTCTGTTTTTTTATTTTGTTTTCAGGGAATACCTTGGGAAGCAACTGCAGTCATCAGAACAGCCTCCTGCTGTAGCTGCCAGGAGTTGAACTGTACATCCTCACTGATACCTATATGATGATGGAAGTGTGCTTTCTGCTTTAGAATTGCGTCATTTGATGTTGTTTGCTTTGATCCTAGAATTAATATGTAGATGCAGCTACTGTTCTTTGCCATTACTGAAATATGTTAAATTATTCTTTAATGGGAAATTCTGTTGGTTTTTTTTTCCGATGTTCCTACTGGGAAGTGCTCTAGTGTATGTGATTTAAAGAAAATCCAGTGTCTTTAATTGTTAAAATGGTAACCTATTTATGTCTTACTGAAAAAAAAATGTATTTCAATCCATTCCAATAAAATGAATTCCAGTAATCTAAAACCAAATGTTTTGTGTATGTGTCAGTAACTAATTTTCGAATGGCTTAAGAAAAGACCTTATCACTTTCTAGACTGATCTCATCAGAGCTTAGAAGCTACAATACGTAAAGCAGGAGCTGCTCAGTAATGCGATGGGAGTCCTCTAAGGAAATACCAAGTTTCTGTTCATAAACCAGTAGATGACTTTCTGCTGGATCACACATTTCGTAAAGCCAATGCCCCAGTATGTTGAGTGGAAACACTGTGCTATAGGAGGTGTCATAACTCCTATAATGAGACATTAAACCTAGGTCTAAGATGAAGGGTGATAACCCTAGTGTCATGGTTAAATACCACTCTGGGCTTGCACAATCTGGCTGACATAAAGCTTCCCCTTAATTCCTTTGGGAAACAATTTGTCTCATCTCTATCTGTTCTGCACTGTAGTGGCTGCTGAAGCTTAATGGCTTTTGCAGTTCAGTGGGAGATGTTTCTGGTCTCATTCCACAGCCTATTGCTGGTCAAGAGTTTTTGAAATGCTTCAAAGTAAATTAACTTCCAAGAGATTACTACTGTACATTATTAATCATACTTCTTAAATGGTTGCATACTGTATCTGTATGATACAACAAAAACTAAGGTATGAATGGCTTTATAAATCCCTTTCTCTGTTCTAATTCAACTGTTTTTCCACACTTTACTGTGTTTCTTGTATGCTTCAGTTCAAACATTTACAGTAAATGTATAGGGTCCTGTAGGAGTTTTGTGAGTTCATTCAAGGCTTTAAGTATTCAGTATAAAATTTGTCTTGAGACAAACCACCTTTGAGTGCTAATCATTGTGATTCATAAAACAACATGCAAACATTTTTTAAATTGTGACAATAGGATACATGTAAGGTGAATTTTTTTTCCCCAACATCTAAAGTATTTCTTTGGATTTGATAGTGTATAGTGAAATTAAGTCTTTTTCAGTTAACCCTGTCACTAATTTATTATGATTTCTACAGTGTACTAGTTTGCATTTAATGGAGTTTATAACAGATTTTAGGGTAAGAATGAACATTCTGTTATGTCTTACTACGTATATGAAAAAGGTATCAAACACCGCTCTACTGTAGTACATGGAGTGCATTATTCTGTACAGTATGTGGCAGTCAGTCTGCTGTGGCCTTACCAGTTGATCCTAGCCTTGGTCCCACTTTCTATTTCAGTCTTTGAGCCCAAGAAACACTCTGTGTCTAGCAAGCTCTGCCTTCAGCACAATCCTGTAATCTGTTGCTGTCGATGGTATTATTCACCAAATCCAATAGTTTTACTTGCTTGCCTACCAAATTCAAACAGCTTAATCCTTGGTCTTTCAATCCAACTATACCTACAGACTTTCAAATGGCTAACATGTTTAAGCGATCTCTACAAAACTATTGTATATTTTAAATTGTGCCTTATAAAATACTACTTAATCGGGAACTGTATGATTACTGAATTAATCACTGAATTTCACAAGTTATAGTTTATCAATTCTTATCAAGACAACTATTTGCACAATCATTCCCCATACAGTAAAAAGAAAATTCCTACTGTATCTACCTTTCCACATGCTATACACTACACCAACATAGAAGATCGGGATAAGCAAATAAGGACTAATTATTTCTACATTTTCACAGGATAGAATTCTACCACAGAAGATGACACTGTTAGCAATGCATCAGAATTGCACTCTATCTGGGTTTCAGGATAATGATATCACCTCTGTAACATACTGTATTCACTGCATTGAGTTCTATACAGTATAGGCTAACGGGAGATCATAAAGTCAGATTGTGAAACCCTATGGACTCGTCAACAGTTCTGCCAGTTTAACATTTGATTGAAAGATGACACCTCCTACAGCACAATGTACCTTGTCACCATACTTGGACACTGGTTTAGAAATTTCAGTCCAGGTGAAAGTGCCTCCGACTGATCTACAAACACAATTTACAATCTACAGTAGGTTTCCTAAGACATCTTCCATTCTAATGCTGCCTAAGCTCAGCCTTATTGAGCTTCTAAGATCTGACTCACACTGTCGATGATATCAATCTAGAAATGATAATGCTGCTGTCATTAGTTATTCTTATGTGCTGAAGACTGCAGCAATCCTTTGTTGACTAGGCACCTGGTCGATCTGTTTCACCAGCGGTGAAAACAAAGTGCTCATTCCCCTGTTCTCACAGAACTGATTAGTAGGCTTAAGGAGATGTAATTGAGAAGGTACAGAAAAAGATATTGATCTGCTCTTTAGCATGCATGTTAGGAACCATTTGGAGAGAAACATAATACAGTAAGAAGCAGAAAACAATTTTCATTGTAAACATTTTGATTTTACAGATACAGAATTATTTATAGTATAGAAAAACAAGTGAAGAATTTGCACAGATAGGAAATCAGTGCTAATTTAGATTGTTTTCTGCTAAATATAATATTGAGTTGTTTGGTGTAGCAGCATTTTGAGATGTCTTTAACTAGCCTGGCCATAAGGACAGAACATCCATTTCCCCTGTGCAGAAGATTTGAACACATAAATAGATTTGATGACTATTTTAGGAGATAGCAAGGTATTGATTTGCCTATAGACAAGTTCTACAAATAACATCAGGACTGAGTGATTCATTTGTGTGGTTTAAGAGCCTGCGAATATGTTTAATTACTTTCAAAAGCCCGGGATACAATCTCTCATTGTATTCACACCACAACAGAAGAGAGAACCCCTCATTAATTATGGAAAATCTACTGATAGACTCGAACAATAACTTATTTGTTTGCTGGGATCTCAGAGAAATGGACAATTATAATGAAACCAAGATTGTTATACAGATGAAAGGAATTATCATTACTTATTATTATTGTTGTTTTTTGTAGTAGCAGTAATTGAAGGTCACCATGAAAGAAATATTTTTTAATTATTAAAAAAAACAGTTCATTCATCTGTCTTCTTATCTTCTTTGCAGAGTGTGGCCAGAAAACACCTGTACCCAGATACAAATCACAGATAAATTCCAGGAGAAGAAAGGGTGAAAACTGAAATAGACGAAATGTAATGCTTTTATAATCAACTTAAAATAAAAATAGTCAGCTGAAAATTAATACAAGCTCAAAACATAGAATTAACACAGTTATAAGGTATATAGATTGTGAGTTCTGTTACTGACTCAGTTCTTTATATTATATCCAGTAACAGACAATGTGTGCAACTGATTTAAGGGTTAATATTGTACTTATTATATCTGTAATGTATATCTCTTTTCATAGAATAACAGCTGTTAAGGATTTTCTATGAAACCACTTATATAAAAAACTGCATGCTGCAGCATATTCTTTTTTTTTTGCAAATCGATATTTTTAGTTTATAATATGTTTCTGAAGAACTATGTTCTGATACTGTACCTTTCTCTTTTTTCAATCATTTTTATTTCTGAATTATTTAGTATTTTGACTCTTATTCTTTTCACCTGTCAGAATGTATTTCATATACTATAATCAGCTCCATGAAACTGTTTGCCATACATTTAAAGCTTTTGTCTTTTTTTACGAAAAGATATCAAAGAATGAACCCAGACTGAAACAAGTCAATTTTATTTTTATATACGCTATTTAAGCCACAGCATTCCAGAGAGCCACACAGAGTTAAAACAAAGCAATAAAACATGTGCATTCACAAACATAATTATTGATACACCTGATAAAAATGAACAAAAAAGTGTGTATAAAATAACACAAGTAATGAATTATATTTTATACTTAAATAAATGATTGTATTCTATTGCAACTGTGAAGAAAAAAATGTTTTTATTAACATATATTAATTTTATATATCAAAATGAAAAGTGGGGCAGCATGGTGATGCAATTGTTGTTATTGAACAATATTTCAGATCAAATTCAAATCTTGCACTTCCGTCTCTCTGCACATAAAATCTCATCGGCTGAACAGGATGCTGTATCCATTTCTCTAGCGCTTTATGTCTCACTTCAGTGCAGGCGTCTCAAACTCGCAAACTCTGGGACCTTACCTTCAATGCACTCAACCAGGACTGGAGTCACCTGCCTCTTCAGCCTCAAAGATACAGTGAGTCTTTACCGGTTTCCTGATACGAAACTCCAAGCAACTGCAGCAGCTATCCCCATGGCAGTTTTGTCTCCACTCCCTTCCCCCTCTCTCATCCTAATCTTGCCAGCACCGTTCTCCTTCCTTCCCCCTTCTATCTCCTTTCCTGGTTGAATGTCCAACCCGGACTCTAACTCCCACTCCCCACTGTGGCTGTGAGTGCATAGTGTCAGTCTGTATTGGATGCAGGCTTCCTCGTTCACACCCATGCTGTCCATAGTGCTTGGGCCTGAGTTCCTTTTTTGGTTGACGTCCAACTGGTTGGTGTTTGGCCTTTGACTCTTGCCTCTCCCAAAACATCCATGCTGCATACCTGTACAGTACATACAGTAGCAGATATTCTTTCTCTTTCCGGGATTCAGCTCAAAATATGTGCTTATTATCTAAATTTAGGCTATGCGTTACAAGTGAACAAGTGGGTTCAAAAAGACCCCAAATTTAGTGATGTTGGAATGAAACCTCACTCACACACTTGGATGTCAATACAGTTTATTGCAGAATTGGGTATACAGCACAGGATGAGTAATTATAAAACAGACTAAATCTTATAAACTATACTAATCCAAACATTATTCCTGGACTTATATACAGTAGATACCAACAAAACTGATCCCAACCCTATTTACAATATACCCCTGGAGATAATTACCCTAGATGACAGAGGTTACCTTGGTGACTCCATTTGCTAGTGGTAATCAGTACAGTGTGTCTGATCTCTACAATCATATCCTCTCTCAAGGATAGCTGTTACGTGACCACCGCGCACTCACATACTGTTGTTAACACATACCACCGACACCAAGCCCATTACAAACACAGACACACACAGGAGTGGAAGAATGGGAACTATTTAGAAAATATACCAAAGGCACCCTG